CTGGGGACTTGGGCTGGCCAAGTAGGGGACTCATCTCTCTTGAAGAGTTGATGTATATTCATGGCGGGGGGAGGCGGAGGTACACCTCGATGGTGTTCAGGGCTTACTCTTGCCTCTGCACTCAGGAATTACTCCTGGCAGTGCTCAGGGAACTATATGGAGTCCTGGGGATGGAACCTGGGTCAGTCGTGTGCAATGCAAATACCCTGCACCTATATTATAGCTCTGACCCCCTGATGTGTATTTTTTATTATTATTTTTGGGTCACACCTGGCGATGCACAGGGGTTATTCCTGGGTCGCATTCAGGAATTACTCCTGAAGGTGCTCAGGGGACCATATGGGATGTTGGGAATCGAACCTGGGTTGGCCACGTGCAACGCAAACGCCCTACCCGCTGTGCTATTGCTCCAGCCCCCTGATATGTATTCTTAAGCCCACCAGTTACAACTATGGAAAATGGGTTCATTTTTGTCATCTGCTGAGAACAAAGAGCCGTCAGCCATCACTGTAGAAGCAGTTGCTTCTAGCACTGTCAGGGGCCATCACTGTCCCCCTCCTTACACAGTCCTGACGACTCCCACCAGAGAGAAACTAGATAGTTGCTGGGAGCTCATATGTGTAAATGGCAAGTTTTGCAAAAGCCTGATCCACTATCTTCACAAAATAAGCAATTGTCTTCAAAGCATCATGGGGCCTTCCTTCAACAAACAAAGGCTTAGCTTGGACAACTGCATTAGAAAAGATTCCAATTAATGGTAGTTCGACAGGAAATTAGCTTAGAGTGGGTCTCCTGTGGCAGTCCCTACACTAAATCTAACCCGGTTAATCAACTCTTGCCTAATAATGGACTTCAGGGAATTGGCTAGAATGAAAGCATGAGAATTACTCGTAATCAGCACGCTAGTGTGTTTAGACAATTAGTGTGGATGCTGGGATGCTTGAAGAGCTACTTATCTCCCTCCCACATTCTTAGGCATCTTATTTCTCACAGTAATCTATTTGGCACAGCCTGGAGACCCTCTCCGGGAAGTGCTTAGGTGCTGGGTGGTGCTCGGGATCAAACCCAGGGCTCCGGCATGTAAATCATGGGTGCCAGCCCCTGGGTCATCTCTCCAGATCCCTGGAGACCCTTTTCAAGAGGAGCAGGTACAAGAGTTGGTTGGACCAGCTTACAGAAGGTGGTGCTGGGAGCACTGGAGGTGAGAACTCAGGTGCCCTTCGGCTCTGGCATGTTTTATGAATAGAATATCCTTCCCGTCCCAGCCCTTGGATTTGTCTAGGTTCCCAGTTTCTGGGCTCCAGGTGGGAGCAGAGATGGTGATGAGCTAGTGTCAGGAAGAGGAATGGAGGCTCCAGACGAACTAGGGTGCGAGGGGACCCACCCAAGGTCCAGATCAACACCCCATGTTGCCGCCCCACTATAACACGGCCTCACCCTGCTGGGAACACTCAAGGGAAGAACCCCCGATTCTTCTTTCTTTTCTATAAATGTTCACAAGAACCTAATGATGGGGTCTCCTCTCCAGCTCAGCATGTGCAAAATCAAAGGCACTTTTCCACCAAAGTTTACTTGTGGGGTTTTCTTTCCCATCAGCCTGTCCATTCTATGTCCCCCCTGTCAGCAGCATGGGGAAACTGAAGTTTTTCTGGGCACCTTCATGCTCATTCCTGTAGCCTGCTGCCCATGGCGGCTCTGCAGGTACACAGGTCGGGACAACACGGTCCATGTGCCCTCTCTGGCCTAAATCCTGACTTCTCCGAGGCTCTGCCATTTTTGGTTCATAGATCTGAGGACACTGTTATCTTGGACACGATCTGAGAGTCCATGGGGCATTACCCTCTCTCTCATGCATGCATTATGTACATGTCTACCCAAAGATCACAGAAGCCAAGAGCTGTAGAAGCAGGACATGTGCAGTTTGGAAAGGAGTTGAGGGGGTCAAGGACTGGAGGTCATTTGAAGGAAAAGCAGCATGTGGGATTTTTTTTTTGGGGGGGGGCGTCACACCCAACAGTGTTCAAGTCCTCTTAGTCCTCAAGTCCTCAAGTCCTTCAGGGGCTTACTCTTGACTCTGCGCTTAGGGCTCACCCCTGAATGTGCTAACGAGACCATGTGGGGTGCCAAGAATTGAACCCAGGACATTTTTGTGCAAGGCAAGAGCCCTACCCACCATACTGTCTCTAGCCCAGGAGAAGCAGCATTGGTTAAGCACGCCTGACACTTCTCAGAAGTTTTAACGTACCTGATGTGGGGAAGGGCAAGGCCAGGAAGACCCAGGTTTGAGTCTCTCCTTCCAGCTGAGAGATCTTGGCTTTACTGGTTTCAGTGATGAGCATGGTAATCCCAGGATTACGAGGATCCAGAGAGCTACACTGAGCCTGCTTAGGACTGGGCCTGGCACACTCGTTCTCACTGTACTTTACTTAACAATAGATCTCTAATGAGTACTGGCTTTATTTAATAATAACACTTATGGAAATCCTGTGAGATAAGCTCGAGTCATTATGTGTTCAGTCATGTTCCAGTAGGGGTGTGGAACAAAGACTCTAGTGGGGAATCTTCCATATACATAGCCACCCCCCCGCCCCCGAAGCAGACAGGAGCGAGCACTGACCCCACCCTGGGCCAGCATGCTGGGGGAAGGGGGATCCAGTTCTGTAGGGGGAGGAAGGAGAAGGGCAGGCCCCTTGGGTGGCTGCAATGGCAAGGCAAGGACAACAGTCCTGAGGGCTTCCTCTCAGTGACGGGGTCACCTGGCCCCATCACTGCCCAGAGGACTTGAACCCAGTGGGACAGGGCAAAGCCAGGGGGACACAGAAACCAGGACCTAGGGCTCCTGCTGTGATGCCAAGGAGAAGGGCCTCTGGTCAAGAGCGGAGGGAGCTGATCCAAGTGGAACCAGGGCGTGCACTGACCAGAGGGCACTTGGGAGCCCTCGCTCAGGCCCAGAAGAATCAAAGCAAGAAGCATGGCCCCCTGGAACAGAGGAAGAAGAGAAAGGAAGGCCCAGAGAGATTGCACAGTGGGTAGGGCACTTGCCTTGCACAAGGCCATCTCGGGTTTGGATTCCTGGTTTGATTAAATCAAAAATTAATACATAAAAGTTAAAAAAGAGAAGGAAACCAAGCCCAGCACCAGGGACGCCTCATTCCTCCTCTCCCTCCACTTCCTGCCACACGTCACCCCCAGGTCAGGCCTAACACAAATGGTTTTATTACAGTTTTTCTGTGGGAAGCCCACATCTGGCAGTGCTCAGGGCTTACTCCTGGTTCTGTGCTCAGGACACACAGGATAGAGGATGGAGCCATAGGTGGTGCTGGGGATGGAACCCGGGTCAGCTTCATGCAAAGCCACAAGCCCTCCCCACCATGCAATCTCTCGGGCCTGTTACTAGCTTTGAACACCGATATTCACTTCTGCAGTGCCAACAGTCCTTAGGGCTGGGGAAGAAGATACACGTGTCAGGTGGGCGCCAAGAAAAAGACCAGAGGCATTGGTAGGTTGTCTTAAAACCAGGCTGTTTATTGGTACTTCCACACCCACACGCACACCCACACTCACACTCACACAGGCATACACACACACACATACACACACACACTCCCAGTGCACTGAGCCTGCACAGTACTAGGAAGGGGCCTGACAGGTACAAGAGGGCTGGGGGTGGGGGGCAAGGGAGGCTTGGGCCATGAGATCCAAGTTAAAAAACAAAACAAAACCAAAAACTGGCTGAGGCTACATCCAGACCCGCCTTCCAAAGTCGTGCGTGCAGGCATCTTCTCCCATCGGCCCCTGCGATACTGCCCAGGGCCCTGGGGCTGCTGCCTGTGACCACGTGACCCAGAACCGGTGGGATTTCCCCCTGAGTTAGCCCTCAATGTCACCCACCTCAGGAGTCTGGGGAGTCTCCATATCCTTGCACCCACTTTCTGTCCTGATAATTAATGTCAGACCCAGCCAGGGCAGGAGGGCAGAACTGGAACAGGGCTGGTGGCTGCTCCCTCTGCCCACCCCGCTGGCCCTCTCTCCACTGAACAGCCACCGAAGGCTGAGCCTGGCACTGCCCAGTCAGGGTGCTCTGATGTTGGGGCCCACCTACCACCCAGCCTGGCTCAGAGCTGGGATGGTGCGGCTGCTTCTCCTACAGGAAAGCATGGTCCTTCCCAGGGGACACGCACCAGACAGGCCTCCTCCCGCTTAGCTGGGCGTGGGTCACATCAGCTCAGCCTGAACCAGGTCCCCCTCGCAGCCTGAGCCGGGTTACAGAAGCAGGGAGCGGAGACCTGTTGGGAAGGATGTTTCTATCCAGCCAGGACCCTGGTACAGAACTCTCACACCCATGAGCCCTGAGCCTTCGTGGTGTGGAACGGGAACACGCAGAACCAGAACCACTGTCACCAGCATTGGGGCTGTGTGTCGGAACCACTGTTACTGGCATCGGGGCCTCTCTGTGCCTGCTCACCTCCCCCTGAAGGCAGAGAAACTGCCCCCAACCCCATCTGATGTTAAGGTCCCAGGATGGTGAACCTGGTTGTGTAAAGTATGTTCTTCCGAGGCAGAGATTTCTAGAGACTGTCGGGGAACAGACAGCAGGGGAGGGGTGCTGGCTCTGTTCCACCCCCCAAGAGAGGAGCCGTCCCGCCTCTGCCCAGCAGTGACCCTGCTGAAGGGGCCTGCAGGCAGCATGCCCGGGCCCACTTAAGGCTGCACAGGCCATCGGCGACCCCTCCAGTATCAGCCCATCTGGTGTCTGGGCTCCTACATCTCTCACTGTGCACGAGGGCTAGCGCCTCGGTCTTACCTGAGGCCCACGCCCAGGGGCCATTTCTCTCAGGTCCTTCCCAAACTCCTGTGTGGGGTTCGGCTTAAGCCTGTGCCTGGCCCTGCCACCTCGGCCTCCCTCCTTCCCAGCCTCACTTCCTCGGGTCCCCCCCAGGTAGCCCCGCAGGGGTCCTGGAGCCATGAGGGAGGCGTGACCCCACCAGCTCTCGCCCCCCTCTGGAAGGGCCAGGATGTGGCTGGGACCCAGAAGGCCACACAGCCCCGGCAAGGTAGAGTCGAAGTTGCCCATTTGGGGAAGGGCGATCCCAGCCCTTGGCGTGATGTCCTGGTCTCTGGTGGAGGTCACAGTCCAGACCAGGCGGGGTCCAGAGAAGGAGAGGGGCGTCACACCCGCCCTGGGGCTCCCTCCTCTCCTGGCCCCTGAATCCCAGACAGGGACAACTGTGGAGGGGCCTCGGGCCAGGAGCCCCCGCCTGTCCATGGAAAACTTACAAAGCACACACGGTGGGACTGGGGTGTTGGGAGTCGGGGCAGGGCAAGTATATGTGGGGATCCAGGCCTACTGGACAGTCAACGTGGAGACTGGGGGCCACGGGAGGAAGGGGACCGAGCAGGAGGGTGAGGCCAGGACGCGGACTCGGCCCTGGGCCCTGCGGCTAGTCGCGGAAGGCAGAGAGCATGTGTCCGTAGAGATAGTGGGAGTGAGCTGAGAGAGACAGAGAGAAGGAGAGACAGAGACAGAGAGAGGCGTGGGGCAGTGAGGGGCGGGCTCCGGGGCCGAGTCCCCGGGGCCAGGGTGGGCAGCGGCGGGGCCGGCCGTGCAAAGCGCCCAGGCCAAGCAGAGCAGCGAGCAGGGGCGGGGGGAGCCGGGCAGAGGCGGGCTGGAGATGCTGCTACGGGCGCGGCGGGTGCGCGGGGACGCCGGGCGGCCCCGGCCCGGCCACTTACCCCGAGCCGCGCGCGGGGCGGGAGGCGGGGTCAGCAGGAGTAGGTCCGGACCGTGGAGGGCTCGAGTCTCTGCGGCCCCGCCGTCCCGGCTGGGGGATCACAGACGGCGGTTAGTGCGCGCCCGCGGCCCCGGCCCGTTAGTGCAGCGTGCGCCCTGCCCCGCGCCTGCCCGCCCGCGCCCGGCCTGTGCGCGCTCACCTTCGGGCAGCAGCTTCTTGGGCGCGGCGGCCGCGGGCGCCAGGGTGCCCAGCGGGGCCACGCGGAAGCCGGCGGGGAGCGTGTCGGCCGAGGCGCTGAGCAGGCCACCGTGCTGCTCCCGCGGCCTGAAGCGTTTCCTCCAGGAGGGCGCGCGGCGGAACACCTTGTCCTCCCCCTGCACCGGGGGACAGGCAGAGGCCACGGGCGGGTTGGGAGGGCCACCCCCTCGCCCTGCCTGGGCAGCCTCTGGGTCGGTAAGGGGGAGTGAGTTGGGCTCTGGGGTCTCGGCCAACCATCCCTGGTCCTCTCAAGCCTGGCCTGGGGGTGTCCTTCAGGCCGGTCTCATCTGTGAAAAGTGGACACCTCCCAGCACCCCCCACCCCCCACCCCCACCCCCGGCGCTCTGCGGCCACATGTGGCCGCAGAGCCAGGCCTGCACCAGCCCAGAGTCAGCAGGCCCTGCTGCCATTTGACCAGGCGAGCCTGGGCAAGTCCACTGGCCTCTCTCAGGCTTCCATGTCCCCCTCAGCTGCGGCCCTGCCTGTGCCAAGGGCATTGGCCGTCCAAGTGACTGTGGGGTGGGTGGATGACCATGGAAATGGGCTCTTCCCAAGGATGTAACAGAGGCCACCTGCCAGCAAAGACTCCAAACAACGACCTCTGTCAAAGGACACACGGGGCAGATGCCCACAGGATGACTGTCTGCACGGGCCTGCCCGCACCCCCAGGGCCCACGCACCCCTGCTTGGCATCTGTGCCTAAACTCCCACCACCCCGGGTTCTGGGGACTCCAGGAGCAGAGTGCCATCTCTGGCTTGCCACGGGGATCCAGCAGGCCGATGCTTCCAACAGTTCTTAGCTCCCAAGGCCCATCCTAGCACCATCTTTGGGGCATTTCTGTGTGTCCTGATGAGGTTACAGGGCCCTGTCTTGCCCTCCCTCTTCCAAGTACCAGGCTCCCTGGGAGAGAGACCCTAGTCCTTCTGTGCTAGTTCATGGGCTCCCCCAGCCCCCAGCCCTTGAGTGGTGCCTGGAGGTACTTGAGGCCAGACGGGGACAGCTAACTCCCTACACGAGCTGCCAGCCTGCGCTTACCTGCACTGTCCCTTGAGACTCACTCCAGCCCCCAGTCCTCGCCTGGCACCACCCACCCCCAGTCAATGCTAAGGATTTGTCTCCTTTCCCTTAAGAGCTGTTTTTCCTGCCAGCCTCCTCTCCTTTCCCAGGAGTTTCTGTCTCCACAGGGGGGAAGAAGTGGGTTGAAGCTTGTGAGGGGAAACTGAGGCAGCACAGGCCAAGGCAACTGCTGCGAGAGACAAGTGGGGTCAAGGGTGACGCGTCAACAGTCAGAGAAGCGGACAAGGGCATCTCCTCAGACCCCTGACTCCCATCCTCTCGGCTGCCATACTTGGTCCTGGAACTAGCTTCTACTTTATGTGATTATTTTGATTTTGGGGACACACCCAGTGGTGCTCAGGACTTGCTCCTGGCTCTGCGCTCCTGGCTCTGCGCTCCGGGGTGACTCCTGGCAGAGCTCAGGGAGACCAGACGAAGTGCGGGAACTGAAACTGGGCCAGCCGCATTCGAGGCAAGCGAATACCATCGACTTAAAATTCCCCCTACCCAGATGGCTAAAGTCTGAGGGGCCACCATGCTCCACAGGTCCCCAGGAGCAGGAGGTCAAAGGAAGACGCCAAAACTGGCCAGGCATGGTCACCCCTTGGGGCTCCAGCACCCCATCCTTAAGAGGGTTCAAAAGCTGTGTCACTCTGCCACCACGCCTGGCTCAGAGCAGGCATCCAGCAAATTCTGCGTGGGGACAGAAGGACGGAAGAGTTTTCTCCATGAGGAAGCGCCGCTCCAAGATGGATGGGATCAATCGCTTCCCTGGAACCACCAGAAAAGCTCAGACTCCAGGTGCATCAGGCCGTGAGAAAATGAAGCTCCTCGGTGAGGGAGAGCTGGGTGGGGAGGGGGTGCGGGCAGCTTAGCCAGAAAACACACCTTGTACCTCAGGCGTTTGGGGAATTGCAGACAGGCCTGCCACAGCATACCTTCTCCCAGTGGGTCCCAAACTACTGATGACGGCTCTAGTTCTATTAAGGTGGGGTTGAGCCCCCAAACCCAACTAAGGGCTAGCTGATTAGTAGGAGACACTGCTGAACCCCCCACCCTGGTCTAACAGGCCCAGAGTGGGGACGCAGAGGCATGGGCAGGTATGGAGAAAGGGCAGCTGCTCGGAAAAGAGCGCCAGAGACAACCATCTGACTGTTTCAACGACTGATGCTGGAGAAGCTGAAAATAAACAATCTTTAACCTGCATGGAGACCAGAGGCAGACCCGAGAGGCCAGGGCAGGAGTGGGGAGTGAAGAGAGGAAAGTGAGGTACAGATAGAAGGAAGGGACCAGGAGGGGACTGTGTCCTCCGGGAAGTGGGAAGCACAGGGAGGCAGCTCTCAGGGCCAGCCTGGACTCTGAGAAGACTCCCCAGAGGGGAGGCTGTGTCTACGGAGACGGAGTGAAGGTATCTTCCCTGGCACAAAGACAGACAGAGACATGGAGAAGCTGCCAGCAGCTAGAAGCCCAAGCCCCTGTGTGGCCGCGTCCTACTGCAGCAAGGAACAGCAGCACAGACGCAGCATCGCAGCAGGCCTTCAGCATCACGACATCTGCCTCCAAACAAGCATCCTTCTCTGATGGGCGGGGGGATGTGAGCAGCTGGGGTGGGGGGCACGAGAGGGGGAATCTGTGTGGATAACCCCCACAGAGGGAGAAGCCTGATGCAAGGCGCAGCCTTTGTGAGGACACCTCTGCTCAGGGGAGAGGCGCAGAGGAGAAGATGCCAGAGAGGAGCAGTGGGAAGACGTCGGAGGGAGCACCCTTGGGCTGTGTTTGGGGAGGACGTCCCAGAGGCTTCTCTCGGAGGGATGCTAGGGCCCGGCCCCATCAGCATCAGTCCCAGCCCATAAGCCTCTCCTCTCTTCTCCAAAGCATCAACCAGCCCAGGGAAAACAAAAGTCACGACCTTTAATCCAACCAACCATGAGCTCCTAAGTCTCTAAATCACAGCCCCATACTCACATCATCCAACTTCCGGTCAGTACCCAAGGCCAGCAGGTTGTTGAACTCTCTTTCCATCACCTGGCGAGCCTGGAGCCACGGGGGTGGGGAGAGAGAGAGAGTGAGTGAGTAAGAGACAAAGACAAAGAGAGCCAGAGGCCAGGGGGCTATTATTAAAAAGTGCCACAGTGCTGGACAGAGCTGGGGTTCTCCTCACACAACCCTTAACCCTGAGGCCATTGCTCCAAGAAAATCTCAGGGTGCTCCTAGAAGTGAACCGCAAACCTTAGGATTCTTTCACAGGAGACAAATGAAGAAAGGGCCCAGGGAATGAGCACCGCCTCAAAGGCAGGGGTGAGAGTCTGCCTGAAGGAAAAATCATGTCTGCCACCCTTTTGGAGAGTAAACTATGCACATATTCACATCAACCACAGGTAATATGAGTTAAATTTCCTTTAAAAAAATACATGGTTTTCATAAGGTTCCATCTAAAAACTTAACCTAGAAAGACGCTGAGTTCCAGACATGAAGGCCCATGGTGCACGGGGCTAGGGAAGCCTCTTCGAGGTCTTGGGAAGATGTGAGAAGGGGCCGGAGTGATAGTACAGCGGGTAGGGAGTTTGCCTTGTACATGACCGACCCGGGTTGAATTCCCAGCATCTTATATGGTCCCCCAAGCACCACCAGGAGTGATTCCTGAGTGCAGAGCCAGGAGTAATCCCTGAGCATCACTGGGTATGGAAGAAGGAAGAATAGGAAGAATAAGGAGGAGGGGGAGGAGGGAGAGGAGAATGAGGAGGAGGAGGAGGAAGAGAAGGAGGTGGAGAAGAAGGAGTAGGAGTAGGAGGAGAAGAAGAAGAAGAAGAAGAAGAAGAAGAAGAAGAAGAAGAAGAAGAAGAAGAAGAAGAAGAAGAAGAAGAAGAAGAAGGAAGAAGAGGAAGAAGAAGAAGAAGAAGAAGAAGAAGAAGAAGAAGAAGAAGAAGAGGAAGAAGAGGAAGAAGAAGAAGAAGAAGAAGAAGAAGAAGAAGAAGAAGAGGAGGAGGAGGAGGAGGAAGAGGAGGAAAAGGAGGAGGAGGAAGAAGAGGAGGAGGAAAAAGAGGAGGAAGAGGGAGGAGGAGGAGGAGAAGAAGAAGAAGAAGAAGAAGAAGAAGAAGAAGAAGAAGAAGAAGAAGAAGAAGAAGAAGAGGAGGAGGAGGAGGAGGAAGAAGAGGAGGAGGAAGAAGAGGAGGAGGAAGAGGGAGGAGGAGGAGTAGAAGGGGAAGGAGAAGGAGAAGGAGAAGGAGAAGGAGAAGGAGGAGAAGGAAGAGAGAAAGACCAGAAACAATATAGGGTTCAAGACTGTCACCCAACACTGGTAACCATTTCAGTGAAGGATCTCCCATATCAGGAACAGATACCACCTACCCTGTATTGGTATAATGCAAGGTTCAGTGCAAAGTCAAACTGAACAAATGGGACGGTTAGGAAGCAGCAGAGAGGGGTCTGTCTGCTTGATCTACTCACTAGCCCCCAAGTGTGCTGGGTGTGCTGAGAGATGGGAGATACACGAGAGCAAAACAAGCCCATTTCTGAGTGGAAAGTATTCCGGGAGCACATCCTGGTCAGGACAGCAAACGCAGTGTTTAGATATAACGGGGAAGGAGAAGCCCCGGAAGCTGTCCCCGATCCAGATGGCTCTGCTTCTCCGGCCCCTGAAAGGTGACGATGACACTTACAAGGCTGTGACAGCAGGCAGAGGAGGTCGGAAGTGGTCATGTCTAGAAAAATTAGACCGGATAGCGGGAACCGGGAGACGGAGAACTGTGCCCTCCTCGGCCAAAAGGGATGTGGGGCCCAGGGCGGAGAGCTGGAGGAAACACTGGCCCTGGGTGCTGCCGCCACCCCCAACAGGCCCCCCGACACCCAGAATGATGAGACAACACAGCCCCCCGTCACGTAAGCCCAAACCGCATGTGCTCCCGGAATAGCTCCGGTGGCTGGATTTCAAGAAACCTGACAGCTGCAAACAGTCCAGACAGAGCTGCTAAAGTGATCAAGGCTGGGAGCTCGAGATGAAGAAAGGCTAAAGGAATTAGAGAGACAAAGGCTCGGGCCCAGAGGCAATGCAACTGAGTTTATGAAATCACCAAGGTGCGAACCGGCAGGCTGACATCCTCCCCAGAGCGAGAAGATTAAGACCAGGCAGCTCCTGGGCCCACAGGGGGCCTGGCGGGCACACTGACGGCAAATAGAATTAGGAAGTCTTTTACACAGCAGGTAGGGCTCGGAGTCCATTACCCACAGGAAGTGAGGGAAGCCAAGCCCAGAAATAGGTTCAAGGGAATTCAGATATGCCTCTGGAAGAGCGCTCTGTAAGAATTGCGCGCTGGACTTCAAGGAGACATCTGGTCTTTTGAGCTGCTGACAGGGAGAGAAAGTCTCCTGCCACGGAGAAAGTATGGGCTGGTCACTGCATTTCTTTCGCTTTCCTCAGCCTGGAGGCCCAGGGGCAGCTTCCTGGGGGGTTGGAGTAAAAGGGGACCTGTGTCCCTTGAGGGCAGGGCAGGTCAGACACAGAGGTGGAGGAGAAGGGGGGCATGGGGTCCCATGCAAAGATGAGGTGGAGAGGAGATGGGGCACCCTGGGTAGCAGAGTGGGTAGTACCAAGGCATTCTGACCTTCTAGAATGTTCCACATGGGGAGGACTCCCGTGCTTTCAGGCATTTGGTCAGGTACAGGGGCCACTGGAGGGGGTTGCTCCTGGAACAGGCCCCCGAAAGTCCCCCCCAATGCCTTGTGTCTGTGGGTAGTGGGGAGATGACGGGGGACGGGGAGAGGGATGCCCACCTGCGTGTTCTGCGTGGGGATCTGGAGGACCAGGGCTAGCGTGTTGTGATCGAAGTTCTCATCCAGGGCCAGCAGGGCCCCGTGCACCCCACTCTCGTGCAGGTTCCCCGCGTAGTCCCGGAGCCCGATGGACTGCACCCAGTGCACCACCTGGTCGTTGGTCCAGACCAGCACATCTGCAGGGCAGAGGCAGCAAGGAGGCAGGGCGATGGGTTGGGGCTCTGCAGGGGCCAACGCTCCCCACGCCCAGAGCCCCCGCCCAGTCGCTCCTTGGCTCCCAACTCTCCACATCCTCCGTCTTTGTCCCGACCCCTGGCCCCTGGAGGGCCCCATGCATGCCTCTCACTCCAACCGAGCCACGCGCTCAGGTCCCCTCCCTGCCCCCGCCTGCAAAGGCCCCCTGACTCCTTCCGCCCAGAGGTCTCACTTTTCCACCCACTCCCAGCCAGACGCTCAGCCCGGAGCCTCGCCCAGGCAGGCCGCACCCCGGACATTCAGTGCCTCGCCCCGTGGGCAGCGTGTCTGGTGGCGGGGTGGGGGCGTCAGCGCCGAGAGGGCTCAGAGGGCTCTTCCTTCTGCCCCACCAGCTGGCACTGGCCTTTGGGCAGGGCCCACCCCTGTCCTGGGGACGAGTCTGTTTCCACCCCAGGCAGCCCCCCGTGCTTACTGAGGAGGCTCCGCTGCACCCCACAAACTCACCCTTGATCTCGTGCTGACTTTCCTCCCGCCTCTTCTCCAGCTCCTTCCGGTCATAGTTCAGCCTCTTCAGACACATGATGCCATACTGGAGACTGGCGCTGTGGGCACATGGGCTGCCTGAGCCGGAACCTCCATGCCCACAGCCACTGCATCTTCCCCAGCACCCCCAGGACGAGGGGCACCCCTCTAGCCCCAGCACCCCCTGGACTGCACACCCCCCTCTCAGGCCCCGCCTGCTCGTGTCCTTCCTCAGCAGGGCCGTGGAGCTGACAGGTGAAGGGAAGCTTCTTGGAAGGGTCTTAGAAGCTGAGATTCCCGGGCTGGAGCCACAGCACAGCGGGGAAGGTTCTGGCCTTGCGCACGGCCAACCCGGGTTCGATCCCTGGCATTCTATAGGGTTCCCTGAGCACTGTCAGAATCAGGAGTAACCCCTGAGCATCACTGGTTGTGGTCCCTCCCTCCCCACCACAAAAAAAGCAAGTCAAGATCCCTACCGCCCGCAGGCAAAGGAAATGCAAACCTCAGCTCTTCCTTAGTACCCGCTTCACTCAGTCCTGACCAAGGTCTCTCTGAGAGCAACCTCCTGAGGTCTGACCCCCGCCTGCCTCAGGGGTCCCCCATCCAGCAGCATGGCCCACCCACCTCCTGGCCTCTGCGCTGCAGCAACCTCTGCCCAAAAACCCACGTCTCCACGTGGCCACCCACAAAGCGACCACAAAGCCCGAATGTCACCTTCTCAATTGGACAGTCGTCTGGCAGCTGATACCCTGGCAGCCCGTGCCCCATCCCCACACCCGATCCGAACCCCAGTGTTTTCTAGAACTTCTCATCTCTGACCACGCTCTAACACCAGCACCCCTCAACCGATCGTTTCTCCGACACGAAGTCACCCAAGATATCCCAGGGGGATATTCCCAGGTGAAAATGGAATAAATGAAGCTCACGGCACAAGACTAGGGGGAGCAACCAGTAAGGGGAGGGGGGCACGGGAAGGGAACAAGGTCAGGAAGGGGCTGTGGGGAGAAAAAGATAGAGAAACATGAATACGCGTAGCTCTGTGTCAGCCGCCCCTGTGCAGTGAAACCCTGCGCGGGCTAGGAGCTCTGCTCTGTTCACTGGATGGCTCTCGGCCGCTGGAACCACGTCCGACCCCGAAGACACCGGGCACACATCCTGACATGCCAGGGAATGAGGGGGTCCGGGACTGGGTCCGCATTAGCGTGGAGATGGCCAATGTGTGCTGTATGTTCTCGGTCACCAACAGCGAGGACAGGACCAGAGGCACCGAGCGTGTGGATTGGAAAGGACCCCAGAGGCCGCCAGCCCAAGCTTCCTCCTAATGCCAGCACCTGCAGCCGCCTTCCCAGGGGAGGTGGGCCCCAGAGCAGAGCCCCCCACCCACCCCACCCCATCCCAGGGCAGGGAACGCCACCTGCTGGGCGCACACGGCACGCAGCAGGCCTCTGCGTGGATCTCTTGCCCAGCCTGAATGCGGGGGATCCCGTCCCTCAGCCCCTCTGGGTCTCATCGTCTCTGATGGGCAGGGAGAGAAGCTTCCGCCCTGTGATTTTTCAACTCCCTGATCAATACTGTTAACTCATGAGGTTAAGTCGAGCAGAGGTGCGAGGGGCAGAGCTCAGGGAGCTGATGCTCGTGACAGCACACGCTCCAAGTGCGCATCCCCAGCACTCCCACCCCGCCCCAGGACTCTGGATATGGCCCAGGTGGACCCACATTCCTGGGCCCGAGTTCTGAACCGTCATAGAGACATGGCTGGAATGGCTCGGGGCACTCATGCTGATGACTCCCCCCACCCCAATTACAAGAAGAGACTCTTCTTCCTCCTCTCCCTTGGGTTTCACCTACTGTCCTACCAAGAACCGTCCCTCACAGCCCAGAGACCCAGCTCAAGAACCTTCTCCTGCCTCAAAGTGCCCGCTCCCTGCATAGGTTAACCCCTGGCCATAGGGAGGTGCGGGGCACACCTAACTGCAAGGCCAACCTCACTTTCCGCCCAGTTCCCAGATATTCAAAGCTGTCACGTAGCAAAGGAAAACATGCAGGTGGCAGAGTTAGGCCATTTTGTGTCAGAAAGTGGCCACTTTCCAGCCTGGTGACACTGGGCATGGTGAACTGGACTGAACTCCCGCCTTGCCCGCTGGGCCACTAGGAGGTCAACAGGCCCGGGAACAGCCCCTCGGCAATGACTGTATGGGGGAAGGGCTCTCTCCGACTCTCTGCAGGATGGGCCCACCATGTCCACGGCAGAGGGGACCCACTCAACAGAACACTGGAGCCCGGAAAGGAGGTACCAGCCTCCTGACACCCAGGCTGATGACCCGGCACACCCGCCTCCCTGACCTGCCACCTCAACAAAGACACGCTTTTATTTCTGTCCTTTCTCAGGAGCTGTGGGGCTGGACCACACCCAGCAGTGCCATTCCAGCCCCATGCTCCGGGGACCCTGCATGGTGCGAGGGGGTCAATAGGGTTTGGCGGCATGCGAGGTAAGTGCCTTAACTATCTCACTGGCCCCCCAGGTATCATAATTTGGGGTTTGGCTTTGGTTTCCTGAGCCACACCCAGTGGTGCTCATGGCTGAGTCCTTAAGGCTCACTCCTGATGGGCTTGGGGGACCTTAGGGGGGTGCCAAGGATTAAACCTGGGTCAGTCACATGCAAGGCAGCGCCCTTCCCACGTACAATCTCTCTGGTAAACATATTTTTAAATAGTCCTTTCTTCTCCTAAAGACATGATTTAAAATAATTCTTAAGGCTGGAACCACATGCCTTGGGAACACTGTGTGAAATAAAGCAGCTGTAGACACAGCCGAGGGAGGGCAAAGCTGATGCTTCAGACACTCCAGATTTAGACTGAATCGGGAAGCTTGGACGTCGTGGGAGGCCCTCGCGGGGCCTGGACAGAGGGTCCCGGGGCACCCTTCCATCAGGGAGGAGGAGCCACGCTGAAGGGTCTCCGACAGCCCATCACTCTCTCCCCCTTGGCTCAGCCCTATCAATCACCGGCAAGGGGACAGGTGCAGTGGACAAGAGTCCCCCCACCCCCACACCCTGCTTGGTGAGGACAGGGGCTCTGGGGCATGTGGCACAAGAGCTGGGCTGCAATCAGAGGCCCGGCCTGAGTCCCCCCCCCCACACTGCTCTGGAATGCAGAGACGGCCTCAAGGCCCTCAGATTTAATTTTCTAGGGTTCGTGAGTAGTCAGAGAGACCGAAGACCTTCACAGAGAGCTAAGAGAGCCCCGAGGCCCCAGGCGCAAAGAGGAGCCTGTCAAGGGGGGCAGAGTCATAGAACAGTAGAGACAGGGCATTTGCCTCGCATGTGGCCGACCCAGGTTTGATTCCCGGCATCCCATAAGGTCCCCTGAACCTGCCAGGAGTGACCCAGGAGTGCAGAACCAGGAGGAAGCCCTGAGCACACCCGGGTGTGGCCCAAAAACAAGCCAACCAGAACAGAGGGTGTCCACACAAGGGTGGATTCCTGGAATCATGGTCACCCTCCAGCCCAGCCTCCACCTCAAGTGCTACTGGGGTGCAGCAGCCACACCAGCACGCCGCCCGGAGTTCGGGCAGAGCCTGGAAGGCCCAGCCCAGCCAAGTGGGACGCCACCGCCAGCTGCGGCGGCCGTCTCTATGAGAAGCTGTGAATGGAGCGTGCCACTCTTCCAGGCATCCGGAATCGGGGGGAGAAGCTCCTCGTGCTTAAACACTGGCAACTCAATTCATCATTTTTTTTACATACCGTGTGGGCCAAACACAACACATCTGTGGGCCAAATCCCACCCACAGGCTGTCAGTTTGGGATGGTGCTAAAGAGACTTCAGAAGAGAAGATGCCTGCAGAGGGAAGGAGGGGACCAGAGGGGACCAGAGGGGACCCTGAAGCTGCAGGCGTAGGGTCAGAGCAGGGAGGCTCCAGAAAGTTCTTTCCTCTCCACTAGGAAGGAAGGAAAATCCACGAGTAGGACCCTCAGGATTAGGCTTCTCGAACGCAGACAACTGAGAAGCACGAAGACAAAAGTCCCCAAACGCACATCTGGGCAGAGAGCCAAGAGGGCAACACAAAAGCAAAGAGGTTTATTCTGTGCCTTAAGGGCTCAAGGTGAGACAGGAGAGATGGGGACCCGCCAGAAGGCCACCGGGCAGACGGAGCCCGGGTCCCCGGGAGGCCCAGGCGGCGTGGGCGGCGTGGCTCACCGGTGAAAGCTGTCCACCATCTTCAGGTGGACCCGCAGGTCCTTCTTGGTGAGGTGATCCAGCATGCGCGCGTCCACCAGGCACTCCATGAAGTAGCTGCGGTACTGGGGGAGCCCCAGGCTGGGCAGCCACTCGTTGCCGATCCACTCGTGGTTCATGTCCCCGTAGGCCAGGGTCTGGGCAACGACAAGGGAGGGGGTGATGGGGGAGGCCGACCCTGCTACAGACACAGTCCTCCGTACCTCAGAGCTCATTCTCCCGGGCACAGAGAGGCGGGCCCTTGAAATGGGACTTCTCAAGGTCCCAGAGGACACGGTTCCACTTATGCATCACTTATCTACACTCATGAACAGAAGTGGCTACCCAGTGAGCAGCTCGTCGGGAACCCTTCCTGCAGGTCCAGAATGTGTTTGTGGAGGTCTGTGATACCCCTCCCGCCCCCACTGGCTGGCTGGGTCTGCACCAGCCCCTACCTGCTGAGCCCAGGGACAAGCGCCTCGAGCCCACCTGCCCAGCCTGGGCAGCCGGCCTCACACAGGCCACACGGGGAGTCGGGCCAGAGAGTAGGGCCATCTGGAGTCACTCTTGAGCCCTGCGTGACCTCAGGACTCACGGACACTCTGGGCTCTTGCCGGCCTCTCATTCCCTTGCTTTAAAATGATTGGAATTAACACCCAAAAGGAGCAAGGGAGTAAGAGGGAATGTGCCTGCCACAGAGTCACTGGACTGGGTGGGGGTGGCGGGAGAGACACTGGGAACACTGGTGGTGGAGAACAGGCATTGGTGGAGGGATGGGTGCTTGAAGATTGACTGAAATGTAATCACGAAAACTTGTAAGTCTGTATCTCACGATGATTTATTGAAATAAAAAATAAAAATAAATGACTGGACTGCTTTTTGTTACAGGTTTTTTTGTTCCGGAGCCACACACAGCTGGGCTCAGGGTTCACTCCTGGCTCGGTGCTCAGGGATCAGTCCTGGTGGAGCTCAGGGGACCATATGGATTGAGCCTGGGTTGGCCACATGCAAGACAAATGCACTACCTGCTGTACTACTGCCCCTAAAATGTTTTTGACAGCATTTTACACTAACTAGTGTATATTTCTCTGTACAATATATTTTTAGTACTGTTCCACTCTCCCCACTTTTTTTATTTTTTAGTTTCAGCATAAAATTCTATGACTAAACCTGGGGATATGGCTCAAGTGGCAGAGCACATGTCTTGCCTGGGCCCTGGGTTCTGTCCCGGATACCATGTGACAACCCCTCCTCCAGCATTGCTGGCTGTGGGAGCACCTCTGGATCCACCTCAACAATAGAAAGAAAGAAAGAAAGAAAGAAAGAAAGAGAGGAGAGAAAAAGAGATAGAGCAAGAAAGAGAGAAAAAGGAGAGAAAGAGAGAGAGAAAAAGGAGAGAGAGAGAAAGAGAAAGAAGGAAAGAAAGAAAAAGGAAAGAGAAAGAGAAAGAGGACGGAAGGAAGGAAGGAAGGAAGCAAGGAAGGAAGGAAGGAAGCAAGGAAGGAAGGAAGGAAGCAAGGAAGGAAGGAAGGAAGGAAAGAAGGAAGGAAGGAAGGAAAAGAAAATTCTATGACCCTTCAGAGACTTGCATTTCTTATCCACTCTCCAACGAGCATTTCCTCTGCGGCCAGGGTCTGCCTGTGAGGAAACCAGGAGTGGCCCGTGTGTTTTCCGGCCCTGGGCTTCCCCTGCCCCTCAACAATGCTCACACTTCTTTTGCTTCACGACGTGTCTCCCCACCCCACGAGGGCTCAGTGTGTGCTTCTGTATCTACAGGGCTTTGTGGAAGAGGAATAACTATTTCTCACTCACTGGACAGAGAGTCCAGCGGGGAGGGCACTTGCCTTGCCTACAGCCCCCTTGGGTTCCATCCCCGGCATCCACTACGGTCCCCAGAAGTGAGTCCAGAGTGCAGAGCCAGGAGACTTACCCCTGAGCACCACTGCGTGTGGCCCCAAAACAAAACAAAACAAAACAAAAATTTACACTCAATGAATGACCCAAAGACCCAAAGCTAAGGGTACTTCTGAGAGGGACCAGGAGAGTGGGTAAAAAAAAAATGACATTATCCCTGAAAAGACAGTCCAGCTGAGGGGACAAGGGGGTGGCTGAGAGCCGAATCCTCTAGCGCTCCCACCTGCCACCCCAAATCCAGAACAGGAGGCAGGGGAGAGCGGGAGGGAGGAAGGGAGGGAGGGGGCGTCCCGGGAGGAGAGGCGCTTTGAATGAAGGGGGACATAAGTCGGTGGGGACTCGGAGAAGCTCATAGGACAGCGCCTGCCGGGGAGTCTCACACTGACCTCTGGGCGCTGGTCCTGGCCCAGGAAGGGGTCTTACCTGAGCCCAGCTGCCCTCCTCACTGTCCTAGCAGCAACCAACGCAGCATGTCGGGGAAAACACACAGTCAGGGACGGGGCAGCCCCAGGGTCAGGAGGGAGCCCAGGGTGGCTTGTTGCACGGCGAGGAGAGCATGCAAGGATGGGACCTGTGTCGTTTGCAGTGGCAGGGAGCGACGGTGTGCGCCGCAAAACTGCACTTCCTGCTTCCAGTCTTGCCGGGATCAGGTTCTATCGACCCTTCCTGTCCCTTTAGCAAGAATCCAGCTCCAGGGAAGGACCCCAGGGCTTCCCCACTCAGCTGGGCTGCTCCCACGCCCAGCTCCTCTCTGCCACTGTGCCCCCAAGGGGGAGCTGGCCAGCGCCAGGACTGGGCTCACATGCACACACGAACGCGCGCGCGCGCGCGCACACACACACACACACACACGCACCTTCCACCCACTATCTCGCCTCCCCACAAGCACATATCAGGGTAGGTCTCTGGCTCGGACAAGACCCCCGTAACCCCCAGTGGCCTCCCATACATTCCCACCATGTCGGCCCCAGGCCCACTCACGGTTTCCGTGGATGTCGCCAGAGTTTCCATCTCTTCGTGAGTGATCCAGACATTCCCGGAAGACTGCGGGCAGAGGGGGAACATAGCTGGCCCCGGACACAGGCCCCAAGCCTCCCCATCATTCTGGGAGCCCAAGGACAAGAACAGAATTCCACTCCTGACGCTGCCCAGTTCTGAGTGACATCCTCTCAAGTCACCGCACCCACACTGCTTAGCTCGGTGCCACCAGGATGGTGGACCCACATGCTTCCGGGATGAACATGAACAAAATATGGCGTTATTCTGGACAGAGCAGCTGGCCCAGTCATGGAGAGGGACGACGATGGAAGAGCCCCCCTTCCAACCCCGGGAGGTGACGGCGTTATCCACTGCCCACACAGTGGAGAGGCCAAGGACCAGGACAAAAGGCCCAAATGTCTGTTCCCAATTCACTGCTTCCTCCACTCCCCCTGCCCTGGCCCACAACAGAGAGCCCCAGAAGCCCAGGGGAAGTCCTGTGCCCACAGGCTGCTTCTGCACAGAGTGCGGGAACTGGGGGCAAAGTCCAGCTGGGGCGCGTGGAGGCCGGACTCCTCCCCGCATCAACGTCACCCCCTCCCGGAGGCCTGTGGGGAAGGGGAGCACAGGGCAAGACTCTTCCCACAGACCCAGACCCGCGGGGGACAGAAACTCACAGTCCTAGAGGTGGGTGGCGCAGAGGGGCTGGTCAGGGACACCATCTCCTGGATGGCCAGCCGGAGCTTGAGCCGGTGCAGGGCGTTGCTGATGCCGATCTCACGCTGGATCTCTGTGTCCGACAGAGCCGACATGATGGCACCACTCTTGACATTGGCCCGGCAGGCCGCCACGTACCAGGCAGGCATGCCCACCCAGAGCTGCAGACATAGCACGGGAGGGGTTGTCAGCCCCTCCCCCAGGTCAGGGCGCCCCATCTGGACAAACGGGAAGGGTCTCGGGAAACTTGGTAGGGCAGAGGCCAGTGGCGTCGGACCCTTCTGTTCCAGTTTGCAGATGACTTTCCTCGGCATCACGGGGAGACTCATCACCATAGGCCCCCCCCGCAGGCAAAACCAGAGTGAGAATTCACTTCCTGACCTGCATGCAGTGACCCAGGAGACATCCCAAGTCACTGGGGGTGTCCACTGGGGAAGGAGGGGCTAAGTGCCAGCCTGGCACACACGGGGCAGAAAAGACTCAGGCTGGGGCGCCAGCTCTGGGGACAACCCTGCCCTTCTGTCCCAGAATGGCTTGTCCCACCCCGTCATCCTCCCGACCCGACCCCAGGTAGGGCCTTCAGGCCAAGCTCACCTCCAGCCAGGAGACCACCGTGGGGCCGTCCCACTGGGCGAAGGGTGTCCCTTTCCTGCGGGCATCTTCAAGCAGCTGGTGCCTTCCAGCGAGAAACAAAACTCCTTGGTCCTTCTAAGTCCCAACCACGCTGACCTCGGGGACCAAGGCCGAACCCCCAGGGAACTCCCCCAACTCGGTCCCACACCTGGACCATCTGCCACTGGGTGACACCACGACAGCACAGACAGGACACGTCTGTCCCCAAAGCGCACAGGTGCCAGGTGCCTCCCCTGGGGCCCCCCGGCACCTCCTGGGGTTAGCCTCCAAGCCCCTCCAAACCCCAACTGGGCCACCTGAGTTCAGGAAGGGCCATGGCAGTCCTGGGCTCCCAGCCCCACCATGCCAGGAGAAGCCGGCAGAGCCCAGGTGGAGGCTCTTACTTCTTCTTCAGCCGCCGGTCCTTCTCGGCTTGGGTCCCCAGCTTGGCGGGCACCAGGGGCTCCTGCAGACTCAGCTCGGAGTCTGTGAGCAGAACTAGACAGACAGACAGACAGACGCGCACGTCAGCCAGGCTGCTGTTCACCTGGCCACAGCTGGGCTGAGTGTGCCCACGGGGCACCCGTGTGGGCCTGCCTCAGGGGTGGGATGGGCCTCCCCATCATTTCTGCTCCACCTTCCTGCATTCAGTGATCTGGGAGTGATGCCCCTGCCAGACACGCATCCTCCCCTCTACGTGGCTCAGCCCCAGGTGGGCCTTCCAGCCGACAGACCAAGCTGCCTGACTCCAACACAGAGGAAGCCAACAATGAGTGCCCACTCCAAACCTTGGTGCAGAGTAGCAGATGCCCGCGGGCAGGAAGAAATGTCTCTCCACCCTTCCTGCTGCTCACTCTGCACAAACCCCACACGGGCACAGGCACTGCCCGGCCCTCTCGCAGAAAAGTTGTCCTGAGCGCGAGCCCAGCGGTGGCCCTAACGGCCTCACAGCGGCCTGGACCCCCCACCCCCCCTCCACGTGCCATCACCGCCACACCCACGGCGCTGACAAGTGTCAGCGCTCTGTGACGGCCTCGGAGGAAAGCATGAGTCTCACACATTCCACCTCTCCTGCCGGCCCCTGCCATGCTCCTGGAGCTAGTTCCCCAACTCCCTGCACCCCAAGGTGCTGCTCCCGTCCCCCAGCCGAGCAGCAGTGCCCTCTGTCCCTCCTCCAGCTCAGCCTGGACGCCCACCTTCCCTTCCTGAGGTACAGGAAGGTATACTCAAGGAGCTTCAACGGCTCCTTCCTTCTCAGAAAGGAGTTGATTAGGTCTCCCTGCAGCATGGAGTCGGCCAAGTGCTCCCACTGACTGCCTCAGGGGAACCTCTAAACTTCTCTGGGTGTGGGGGGGTTCACACCACCTCCTTCTCCCCCCACACAGAACACGCAGAATGGGGCTGGAACGATAGCACAGTGGGTAGGGCGTTTGCCTTGCACGCGACCGACCCGGGCTCAATTCCCAGCATCCCATGTGGTCCTCCGCGCACTGTCAGGAGTGGTTTCTGAGTTAGACCCAGAGCATTGCTGGGTGTGACCCAAAAAGAAAAAAAAAAGGTAAGAAAAAAAAAGAACCAGAACATTTTTCTGGGGGCCTCAGCACTGAGGATCAGAAAGTGGCCCTCGGAAAGGCCCCTGGGAGTCGCGCCTCCCTCACACCCCAGAGCACCCTCCGAGCCCGAAGGTCAGATGCCCTATGAGTGGGTGCTCCCAGGAAACCGCCGCCAGGGGCCTCGGGGGGGCTGCGGGCTCCCTCTGAGCCCACCCCAAGGGAAAAGGCAGGGACCTTGGCCCGTGGCCCCGTCGCGGTTCAGCTGGATGAAGCGGCCCTTCTCCTTCTTCCCGAACAGGCGGCCGATGGACGACTTGATGCCCTTGCGCTTGGCGCCTTTGTGCAGGGAGTCCTGGCTGCTGTTGCTGCTGCTGGGGTTGCTCCCCTGATCCTCCAGGGCGCTGGTGGGGCCGCGGCGGCGAGAAGAAGAAACAGCCGTCAGTGCCCACGGGAGCGGCGGCGGGACCAGTGGGTGAGCCCCGGAGAGGGGCCCGAGGGGACATGGGGGAGGGACCGGCCCCACTCACCTCTTGCCTTCCTCCTGGCTCAGGGCGGGGTGGCCGAGCTTCTCGAGCCGCAGCGTCCTGGGTGAGGAAGGAGGGGAAGTCTCACATTTTATGGTGGCTTTATCCTCTCGGTTCTCTTCCCGAGACACTGGCGACTGAACAGACAGTGGAGCCGTCAGGGGTAGAGCGGGAGCCGGGGGCCTGCCTACCGCGCCCGCACAGGGCAGAGGGGCCTGGAGAGAGGCCCGGGGGAGGCCGGGGGGCCTCTCTGAGCTCAGATCCGGGCAGCCAGGCGGGGGCCCACGGGCAGGGCCTGGGACAGTGACCCCGCTAGTCCCTGGGCCTCCAGGGAGCACTCACCAGCAGCTTCCTCCTGTGCTTCCGTAAGTCACTGGGCTGGAAAAGAGAGTGAGGGGTGGGCTGGATTCCACTTCCAGGTGCCCAGAGGTCACCCAGGGGAGCCCAAGTCCTAGGGTGGGACAACAGGGGTCAGTGTCTCACACAGGCCTGGAGAGAGAAACCAGGGGAACCTTCTGGAAGAGAAGGTGCTGGAAGAGAGGAAGGAGTATGGGTGGGTGAGGGTCTGAAACAGCTGCCTCAACCCAGGAGGAGGGGAGGCAGGAAGGACAGCACGGTGGCCAGCGGCCTGCGGCCACAGGGGCAGGTCTGAGCATGCATCCCCTGTGCCTCAGTCATGCCCCCAGTGCGACCCGGAAGTAACTCCCCGGCTCTCACCAGGGTCATCACCCCCATGCGGTCCAGGTCCTGGGCAGCACTGCGGGAGGTGAGCTTCGGGGTGGAGCGCCCACTGAGGGGCGGGGAAGCACTGGCCAGGGACAGGGCCGTCAGGGAGGTGGGGATGGAGGCGCGCTTGCGCAGCTGTGGCAGGTTGAGGGCCTCCATGCTGCCGCTGGTCACCCGCGTCTCGATCTCCTCCGCTCGGAGCTCCGTGGACTCCTTCTCTTCCTGGATCATTCTGGAAGGTGGACACAACCAGGCGCACCACTAGCCCCGGGAGGACACGCCTGTGAGCCAGGCAGAGGAACACCCTGGTCTCCAGCACTGCACGTATGGATGTGTATCAGCGGGTATGAGTGAGCTAAGTGCATGTGTGTGTGTGAGAGGGTATTGTGTTAAGTGTATGTGTGTATGAGTGTGTGCGAGTGTGGGTGTATGAGTATATGGGTGTGAACATATGCGTGTGTGTGTGAGTGTATGTGTGTGTCAGTATGTGGGGGTGACTATTGAGAGTAAGTGTGTGAGTGTGTGTATATGTGAGTGTATTGTATATGTGTGCAAGTGTGAGTGTGTATATGAGTATATGGGTGTGTACATATGCATGTGAGTGTGTGAGTGTGTCAGTATGTGGGGGTGACTATTGAGAGTAAGTGTATGAATGACAGTGTATTGTTTGGGTGTAATGTGTGCAAATGTGTGTATGTTTGAGTGTGTAGATGAGTGTATGGATGTGTATATCTGAGTGTGTGTATGAGCATCTGTGTCAGTGTGGGGGGGGGGTCACTGTGAGAGTAAGTATATGAGTGTGTGTGAGTGCAGTGAGTGTGTGAGTAAATGTGAGTGTGTATGAGAGTGTATGTGTGTGTGTGAGACACTCTCACACTCACACTTGCCCCTGAGGAGACGCCAATAGCTCTCTCTGGCTTGAGCGTTTCTCCCACCAGGGAGGCTGAAACGTCTTTTCTTTTGCAGCACCTTTGGAGAAGGTAGAAGTCTGCCGTTACAAGCAATAGTGATTTTCTCTAATGTTTTTATGGTCTTTAATTATCTTTAATGTGAAATCCAAATTGGGGTACCACTGAGCCCGAAGCCATCTCTAGCTGAGTGCTGTCGGGGTGCTCTCCCGCTGAGCCCAGGGGGGCTCGGGGAGTGGAATTAAACTGAGTCACAGCAGGCCAAGTACTGGGCTTGGGGATGGTCTACGCCTCATTCGGGATGGAAGGCCTGGCTGGCATCACTGGGTTCAAGGTACGAATCCCTAGCTCTGCTCCTGGCCAAACCACTCCACCTCTCTTGCCTGTACAAAGAAGACCCTGCAGCCTCCATGGACTGTGGTCGGAAGGACATTAGCAGGGAGCACTCCTCATGCCTGCCTCTGCCGAAACTCCCAAGAGGTCCAGCTCTACCAGACACCATACCTGTGGGGTTTCTCCTGCGGTGCCCAAACACACAGGGGCACCTTGGCAGCTCCCCGCCCACCTACCTGATCTCCTCATTGATCGCATCCAGCTGCTCCTGGAGCATCATGGCCAGAGTCTGAGCATCCGAGTGGCCGCCAGGAGAGACAGCATCCATGGAGCCCACCAGACCCCCCGCGTCATCCTCGTCTACGTCGGAGATCTCAGGGTCACTGTCAAAGGCAGGGGTGGTTGTGGCAGCCAGCACCCCGGGCAGTGGAGATGACTCCCAGTCCTTAGCAGAGGAAGAGGGACAGAGGCAGAAATAAAACTCAGTAGGGGACCAGAAGTAGGGGCCTCCCCTAGCACCCCACTTTAGGCAGATCGTTAGAAATGCAAATTGTCAAGCCCATCTCAGAACTACTGGGTCAGAATCTGCATGCCAAGTGAGAGCCCGGCATGATTTATCAGCACAGTAAGCTGAGGAGGGGGCCAGAGGTAACCACACAGGCTGAGCACGTGCTTAGCCGCCAAGAGTCCCACGTTCAAACCCCAGCACCACATGGTCCCCTGAGCACAGAGCCGAGAGTAGCCCCTAAGCACTGCAAGAGTGGCCCAGAAATCAACAAAAAAGAAACCTGCTCATCTAAGAAATACAACTGTAAGTCCAGGGACTAAGTGGCAGAGTGGCTGGAGCAGATTCCAGAGAGAGAAATGGCCTGGCTTTGAGTGCATTCTCCCACTCCCAGCTGTCTCTCTGGAGAAGGACATTTAGCCTCTCTGTGCCCCACTAACTTTCTCCACAAAATGGGGTCAAACAGTCCCCTCAGCCCAGGGTCCAGAAACCACACCGGGAACAGCGTCCTACACAAAGGAAGGCTCCCAACCCATGCACACCCATGAGATGACCAGACCTGCAAATAGGAAGGCCCATGTCCCCGAGTTTCAGGATGGCCCACCCTGAGAGCGGGGGGTCCTCACATACCTCGTGGGGGCACAAGAGGGCCCAGTGAGAAGAATGCACAGAAATAACGTGGGGGAGCCCAAGGGAGGACCAGGTGAGAGATGTGCTCTGTCGCCCCACAATCCCACAAGCCTCCCCCCACACCTGGCTTTTACCTAGCTCTGGGGCAGCTACTGTTCTCCAGAAAACAGGAGGGAAGGGCATGGGGAGCCAGAAAGAGGTGACAGACTCACGCACCTTCAAACTAGGGTTTTCCTGGGGGCAAAGAGTTCCTCCCCCATCAGACTAGGGGGTCCCCTTCTCTATCTGTCTTTTCTGCGTATCTTAACTGCACTGAGATCTTTTGATGGACAAGTAGGGGCAAGGAAGGAATCACAGTTCCCCAAGCATGGAGGTCCAGGCATGCCCCCTAATCTCTCTGCTGCCTCGAAATGACCCTCATGGACACAGCCTGGACTTAAAGATGCTTCCCTGAAAACTCCAGGGGACTGTCGGGGGGCCAGCTAACCTGCCCTCTGCCCCTCCCCCACAACTCTTTGGCCCAGAAATCCCCGAGTGCATCATGTCCCGCCCCCAGCACACACCCGCCTGCCCAGACACATGTGCACACGCTCCCTGGACCCCCGGAGTGGGGGAGTGGCTGCCCGCCAGCAACCCCCTCTCCGTTCTTGCCCAGCAGGAGGCCGAGGTGAGGGGGGCACAGCTGTCGCAGCTGACGGTGCCTCCCAACCTCCCCCCGCCCCGAACCCAGGTCTGCAGCTGTCGCCGACACGGGGCAGGGCTGGGGGAGGATTTGAGCCACATGCCAGCCGTCTGTGAAACTGGAGCCAGGCACGCGGCCACGCTGACCCCCACTCCCTAGGGAGCCCCCCCCACATCCCCTACCCACTCACCTTGGCGGACCCTTCCCGCAGTGCCGAGTAGCGCCGATGCAGGCCGGGGGGCCCATGGGTGCCCAGGGAGAAGCGCACTTCTGCCGCACTGCCCATGTGGGACCTGGGTTGGGGGGAAAACAAGCTCTGAGGCCAGGCCATACCCACAGGGTCCCGGAAGTTGGGGGAGAGACAAGTAGGGCCAATATGTGAAGCACGACATGAAGGTAAACCGGGGTCAGGTTCCAGGCCCCAGAGCAGCTTCCGTTTCACACTGGGGTGCCACAGTGGGCTGTGACACTGCAGATGGTGTCCTTGGCAGAGAGGGTTCGAGTGTGAGGGAAGAGTGATGCAGAGGCTGGCCCCGGGGGAGAGGCGAGGGACCGCCAGCTTCTATTAACTCTGACGGTCTTCATTTCTCGGTCTCCTCCCCAGCCACTGTCCCCAGATGGCCCCTTAACCAGGACTGCGTGTCTGTGTAGCTGAAATTCCACCCCATCTACTTCCGGTCTGCAGGACACTTTGAGGTCCTGACACCAGGAGAATCGGAGCCACGGAGACCGTTCTGGCTGCCCCAAGAGTCCACTCCAACACAGAGATGGAATTCCCAGTGACCATCCCCGGGAACATCAGAACTAACATCCCCATGACAGACACACCACTCCTGTGCCTGCCCAGCTTGGAACCTGAACGAAAGAACAGCATGAGCCCAGCGCCATGTCCACAGGCCCACTGCAAAAGAGGGCAGTGTCCGCCACCCCCCACCCACCCTGCTGCCGTACTCGAGTCAAAGAGGAAGTGTCACCAGAAAAGCAAGCGGTGACGGCAGAGGGCCTCCTCTAGACAGTCTGCAGAAAGGCGCACGGGTACCCAGCACGACTGTCTTCTGTCTCTGCCCCTGCTTCGGCCCATCCTCCTTCTGGCATGACCAACCCTAACAAACCTGAAGGAGCTTCTTCCATTCCTGCCACCCCGACACCCACATGCTTCCTTCACACTTCCTGGACGCTGCCCCCTGACAGAGGAAGTGCCTGGCCAAAGGCAGTGTCTCAGGTTCGGCGCTGAGAGAGAGAGAGACCCTGCTTTGGAGGAAACAACCCAGAGGCATGAAGTTCCGGCGGCTGCCGTTTCCACCTTCCTCAGTTTAGATCAGAGATCTGAGGGCACACTTGAGTTCAATGTCAAGTACTTCTCCACAAAATGTGGAGACAATCCACAAGTGTCCTAAGGGATGGGCCCAAGTCAAGCAGCAGACAGGGGCTGGAGCGATAGCACAGTGGGTAGGGTGTCTGCCTTCCACCCAGCCGACCCAGGTTCGATTCCCAGCATCCCATATGGTGCCCTGAGCACTGCCAGGAGTAACTCCTGTGTGCAGAGCCAGGAGTGACCCCTGTGCATCGCCGGGTGTGACCCCCCCCCCAAAAAAAAAAGTTAAGCAGCAGACGCTGAGTCTCACTCAGCAGGGCTTCAAATAGCCACAGAGAAAAGGGAGTCACGAGTCTCTGAGCACAGTGTCTCCATCTCTCACACACAGGCAGGGCATGAGGCCTCATTCAGTCTCGCCTGCTGCCACCTCGGCCACTGCCAACCTTGGCTCCTCTGAACGGCAACCCTCCGGAGCCCAGAAGACAGTGTCTCAAAAGGAAGGAAGCTGCAGTCCATGAGCGAGCTGTGTGGAACGGGGCAAGACTGCAACTCAAGAGAGTTCTCAAGGTCAAGGAGAAGGACAACATGGAGGCCGGCCCCTGGCTGATCTGGGACCATCTCCCTGCCTGCATGTCAGCCTCGCTTAAGAACAGCTGTTCCCCGCACGGAAACTCTAGGCCAGCTGGGACCAAGTTCTCCCGGTGTCCCAGCCTGAAGAGCAGGCCCTAGGGGTCCTGGGAGGTGTCTCCTCCCTCAGAGTCCATCCAGGACCCTGTCCCAGCACACCAAACTCCCCGGTACCTGGAGTGGGGACCATCCACAAGCTGTCCCCCTCGCCCCTTCAGCTGGTCCACCTCCTGGCGTAGCTTCTCGATCTCTTCAGATAGGCGGCCCTGTGTCAGAGGAGGGCAGAGGGGAGAGGGACAGAGAAGAGCAGCGTTGGGAGGAGCAGAAGGGCCTGCCAAGAGCAAAGCTGGGGCCTAGGCCGGGCACTCGCTGAGCCCTGGAGAGGGTGTCCATGCACGGTAGGGCAGAGCAGGGCAGGAGCTGCAGGGAAGGACCCTGGAACTGGCCTGCTAAGGCTCATCACCACCCTTGTGGTGGCAAACATAGTGGCCAGCAGCAGAGAGCCCCAGCACATGCACGCAATCAAGGCAGGCTCTGGTCTCCAAGCAGGGGCCCAGCAGCCCCCCACGCTGGCTCTGCGTTCTTCGGTACATGGGGCAGCTCATGCTTCCAGGGGACATTCGGGTATGTGTAAGGACTCTAGGGCTAGGGTCCCTGCACGATCTGACTCTCCAGGGCCTGGCAGCCCGCAGCTAGCTACCTTGTGATGGTGCTGCTCCTCGATCTGCCGCTGCGAACTTTCCAGCTCCTGGATCAGAGTATTCTGTGGAAGAAGAGTCGTGAGTCAGGGACCCTGCCCTGATCCAGCGCTATTCTAGTTCCGCCCCAAGCCTCAAACCCAGACCCTGGGTGAACCCCCTTTCCCTCACCCAGTCCCTCCTGCCCCTCCCTCCATTCTATCCACCTCTCCAACTACAGGTCTCCCCCATGGCCCAAGCCCACGCACGAGCTCCGCGCACCAAGACCCACCCAGGGCCAGCCCTTAAAGTCCAGCCACAGCCCCATCCATTAGAGCCATGCCAACCTAGGCCACGCCCATCATAACCACGCCCACTCGGGTCACCTATAAGAACCACACCGACCTGGGCCCCGCCCATAAAAGCCACGCCCACCCAGCTCCGCAACCAGAACCACGCCCACATAGGCCACGCCCATCATAACCATGACCATCAGAACTACTCTGACCTAGGCCCCGCCCGCCACGACCACGCCCACCTAGGCCCCCGCCCACCGAAGCCAAGCCCACCGGAGCCCGCCCTGCCCCGCACCTTCTCCTCCAGGGCAGCCATGCGTTCCTTGAGGTGGAGCTGCAGGCGCTCATTGGACTCGCTCAGCAGCCGGTCCACAGTGTCTGACAGCCGCTTGTTGTGGTCCTCGTTCATCTTCTCCCGCTGGCGCACCTGCACAGTAGAGTAGCCCACGTCGCGCCAGGCCCCACGCACCACCCCCTCTCTCCTGCTGGGATGCCCTTTCTCCAGCATTCCCACCCGGCGCCCCTGTCTTCCCACCTCTGGCTCTGTGATTCCACCCGAGCCAGACTCCTCACAAGCCTCCCACCCAGCATCCCCGGGGCTGCTCTCACCCTGGCCAGCTCCTGGTTCTTCTCCTCCAGCTGCCCCTCCAGCTGCCGCAGGTGCTCCTCGATATTGCCGTGCCGCTCCTCAGCCTGGGGTGGGGTGGGGGGGAAGGCAGTGTGGCGGGACTCCACACTGGGGGCCCATGCTCAGGAGCCAAGTAAGCGCCCCCCCCATTCTGCAGCCGAATCGCCTTTCCCATCCCCCCTCCCAAGCACCCCAGCTCCTGTGAGGTGTCCCCTCCTGCCTGCCTCTGGAGCCAGCAGCTCCAGACCTGAAGCTCCCCTCCACTCAGCAGCATGAGCACCTTGCGTCCTCACTGCCTCTGGACAGAGAGACAGACAGACAGACAGACCTTTGCTTCTAAGCAAGGCCACGCCCAGCCGTGGCAAATCCTGCCCTCTACTCCCCAGCCAGGCTCTGTGAACTGGAACTGAAATCCCTGAACTCTCCGTGCCTTGGTTTCCTCCATTATAAAAGGTGGACAAAAGCAGGACTTCCATCTACTGGACCACTGCGAGGGCCACATGAGCTCTTTCATGGCAAAGTCACTCAGCAATGCCCACCTGCTCTTTACCTGGGAGGTTGGCCCCTGCTTCCTCCATCTCCAGGACGGAGACCCTATTGTCTCAGGCAGCACTTTCTAGAAGCATCACACATCAGGGTAGGAATCCATCCTGACAGCTCCCGTGGGACTCACCTTCAGTGCACCCCATCTTGTCAGATATGGGCTAGAGCTGACTCCCACAGCACCCCACAGGGGACAGCCCACACACAGCTGCCCTTTAAGGACAGCTGTCCCATTCATTCACTCTAGACAGTCCCGGCCACCAATTCCAGAGTCGTCACAGAGATGACCACTCCAAAGGCCTGTCCAGGGCAGCAGGGCTTGCCCAGGTCACAGAGCAATTAGAGGCAGAAGCCGACTGGCCCTGGGTCCACAGAGCCCCAGCTTCCTGCCACGCTCCACCCCCTGCTCCTCTCCTTGGGCTCAGGGGGCTGAGGTGAGCTCCCCAGGGGCCCAGAGACCACCCTCCCACTGCAAAAACTGCTGCATTCTCCTGGCCGATCCTCTGGGTTGGAGGACTTTTCCTCTAAGGAACAGTGCTCCAGAAAACTCAGCCTTTTCTTCTTCAGGTGCGATTTTTGCTCCCTCTTTTTTTTGAGGAAGTGGAGGGGTAATGGTACCACACCTAGCAGTGCTCAGGGGCTACTCCTGGCTCTGCACTCTGGAATCACTCCTGACAGTGCTCAGGGGGCCATATGGGATGCCGGGGATGGAACCCGGGTCGGCCGTGTGCAAGGCCAGTGCCCTCCCTGCTGTGCCACCTCTGCAGCCCTGCTCCCTCTCATTAGCCTAATGCTGCAGTGGCCAAGCACCCCGAACTGTCCTCCATCAATACTGGCGTCCATCTGAAAAAAGACACAAGTCACTCCACCTAAACACCACCACACTCTCTTCCAGGTGGCAGAGACACGGATTCATCTCCTCTCCAGTCCATTTGTCCCAAGAATGGCCTCAATTTCCTACTCGAGAGCCCAGGAAAAGCACGCACAGATGAACACGAAGTACTCTGTATCTGCACCTCCTCGACTCTTCTAAGCCCTTCTGCAACGTTTCTTTAAGGGACTGTTCCCTCCTGGGGACATGCACGCAGCAGGGTGCCTCCCTTGACTCAGGGCCTCGCCAGCCACAAAGCTCGGGGTGCAGGGAAGGGCGAGAGCCCAGCACGCTTGCCTTGGTGAGGGCCGCGATTCTCTGCGCCAGCTCAGCCTCTACCTCGGGCAGCGTCTCCGCCTTGCGCATAGTCTGCTGCAGCTTCTGCTCGGCCACCTCCAGCAGCTCTTGCAGGTGCCGAGCCTTCTCCTCGCACTGGCAGTGGAGAGGCGGGATGAGCCCCGAGGCCTCCCCCTGCGCCCGCACCCCACCCACACCCCCGCTTCAGCAGAAGCCAAGGGACACCCATGGCACCTGCCTTCCGCCCCACAAAGACACCTCCAGAGCCTCAGGAGGCATCAGGGCAGGGGCGGCCCAAGAAAACCCTCCCCGCCCCCTAGAGGAGCAACCTGGCGGTGCAGGGATTCCTTATTGGCCAGCTCATTCTCCAACTTGTCATTGAGGTCATGGATAGACGTGGCCTCCCTCTGGGCGGCCAGGTAGCGCTTCTCCAGAGTGGTGATTCGCTCCTCCATGTCCTCCTTCTGGGCCAGAGCCTGGCGGGAAAGTGGGGCCCATGAGGTCAGGTCATCGGCTTCTCCTGTCTGCATCTGCCCCCAGACCCTGTGGGCACTATGTTCTCTGCCCGGCACCTGTCAATCCTGACTTCACCCATCCCACCAATAGAAGGCGCACACATACACATGTACACATGCACACACATATACACACATGCACGTGCACGCTTGCACACAGTCCACACATGTGCACACATAAACGCATGTGTACGCATATACATATACACGTGTGCACACATGTGGAACACACGCACACACATGCACACACGCACATGCACACACGCACACACTCCTCCGAATTCTTCCTGCCCAGGCCTCAGTCACCTCGCGGAGGTCCCGCTGATGCTTGCTGCTCAGCTCCTCTGACTTGATGAGGTCCCGGCGGGCCGTGCCCAGGTCCTCCTCCAGCTCGGCCACGGCCGCTGTCAGAGCGACCAGCCGTTCCCGCGTCTGGCTCAGCTCGAAGTTCTGCTTCTCCAGCAGCTCCTGCAGCTCCTCCACGCGGCCCGCGGCCTCCTCCAGGGACAGCAAGCACCCATCAGCCAGCGGCCCGGGCACTCCACGCTGCTGCCCCCTACCCGGGGACATGGGGACAGGGGCAGCCCCCCCAAAGCAGATCACAGGCTGCCAAATAGCCCTGTCCTTGCCCACTGCACACAGTGACCAGAAGCCTGCTGTCCTTTCCACTGCCTGAACAACCAGGGCTTCTGCTAATGCCACCATGAAGGGAGTGGCGGGGGTCAGCCAGCAAAGCCTCGGGAGAGAAGGCACACAGGAAAATGGCCCCTAATCCTCCCAGGGGACTAGCACAGGGCCTGCACTGGGTGCGCACAAAAACAAAAATGCATCATTATTATCTTTCTGGTTGGGCTTTGTTTTTTTTTTTTTGCACAAGCGGTGAAGGGAAGAAGGAAAGAGGTGAGATAGTAGAGAAAGCCCCGATTTCTTTCACTGACCGAAGGCGGGCAGCCCTCCCCCGCGTGGCCCCTGCCCAGCGTCTCCCGCTGACCCACCTTCCACAGGCGTTTGGGGCCCAGCTCCACGGTCCCCTCCTCTTCGGCCGCTCCATCCCGCAGGCCTGCCCCCTGCTGCAAGGCAGACACCTGCAGGGCACAGTCCAGGGCGGTGAGGTGAGAGACAGCCCCTCGTGAGACCCCCAGCTCCCCGGCAGAGACGCGGTGAGGGTGCTCTGGGCGCGGCTCACCTGTTGGTGGGCCCCTGCCAGCTCTTCTTCCAAGGTGCCAACTCGCTCCAGGGCTGCCCGAAGCCGTTCTCGCACCTGCCCCAGGAGAGATGGGGAGTTGGGGAGTGGAGACCCCACTGGCTGGAGGAGCCTGTCTCCGTGGTGAGGCACCAAGAAACTCCCGGGAGACATGGGGAGCAAGAAGGTAAGGTCCCCTAAACCGGAACAGGACAGACCCCGCAGAAAGCCGTGCAGAGGTCCACGGGGAGCTAGGTGGGCCTGGAGGGGCCAGGAGGGGGTGGGTACCTTCTCATCCAGGGCCTTGTGGTGCTCAAATAGAGACTTGAGGGCCTTCAGCACCTCCACCTCGCTGGAGACCCCGGACGGGGACTGGGCCTGACGCTTCACCACGGTCATGCGCAGTGACCGCTCGTGGCGGGACACCAGGCACTCCAGGTGTTCCAGAAGCAACTGCGGGGGCAGCCGAGGCAGAGGGAGGCCGTGAGTGTGTGCCCAGGCCCAGGCAGCGGGTGGGACCCCCTGCCCCGAGGGTCCCCCGCCTTCCTCGAGCCCCAGCTCCAGGAGAGAACCCCCCACACACTGGTCCTTGAGGGCCAGGACTGTCCCAGGAGCGAGGCAGCGAGAGTAGTGTAGCCCGCTACTGCTCTCTCTATCATTATGATTTTTAACAACACTCACCCTGGTGTTATTCCGCTCTGCCTTCAGCTCGGAGATCTCTTCCTCCCGCTCCAGGAGCTGCTCCCGACACAGGCTCAGCTCCCGGGTTAAGGTGGCAAATTCCTGAAAACCCCCAGGGCCCCTCAGTGCTCGGGGAGTGGCCCCTAAACGGCGTGCTGCACACCTCTGTCGGAAGCAGCTCCTCCCCCCCAGCCTTCCCCAGGAGAGCCCCCGGGCCCCCGGAGCGTGGGGGAGCCTGTGCTTGGGTCGGTCTCTGCCCTCCCGTCCCGTGTTCCCGGCACCCAGCACTCACGGCATCTCTGGAGCAGGCGGCCCCAGCACAGGAAGGAAGGGCCCTCCCGCCCCCCAGCCAGTCACAGGTGCCCCTGAAGCCACGGCAGACCCCGTGCTCAGCTCCGACCTTGGGGACCCTCGCGCCCAGAACGTGGGTCTCAGACCGTGGCTGCAGCCCGCACCCGCTGCCCAGCACATGGTCCCGTTTTCCCGAAGCCTCTGTGAGGTCCGGGCAGCTCAAAGACTATCCTGGCTCTTGGTGTAGGGTGAGGAAGAGGAGGCAGCAACTGCCCCCAGCACGGGCCCGCACTGAGTCTACCCCACATGACCTTGGTCTCGGGGTACTGAAGCACAAGTACAGCTGTGCCCCCACCTGCAGCCCATCCCAGACTCCCCTTGGTTGGTCCAAATCAGGCAAGAAGTTGTGGGAAAGAGACGAGGGGCCCGGAAATGCCAGCGCCTGATCCAGCTCCTGAGAACCGTCATGGCCAACACCCAAGGTAGGCCCAGGGGCGCCGAGACCTACACACAGGCACAGATACACAGACACACAGCGTACTGATGGTACACTACCGACACACAGGCACAGACACACAGACACACAGCATACTGACGGTACATACCAACACACAGGCACTGACACACAGCATGCTGACGGTATACTACACCAACACACAGCCATACGCGTGTCTGACAGACGTACCCACAGGCAACACACACACCCACATATACACCTGCAACTAGACACGCACACTCATATACACCCATACCCATATACCCAGGCACACACCCATACCCATAACTATACATACACCCACACATGCATATACATATAGCCATAAGCACACGTACACACATAAACACACATACTTCCATCCACCCATACACCCACACATAGACATATATCATACCCACACACACACCCATACACACACACCCATACACACACCCACACACAAACATACCCACACACACACACCCAGACACACACTCATACGCACACACCCATTCTGCACACACCCATACACACATGCTCATACCCACACACACTCATACACACACATACTCATCCCTGTACATACCTATACACACTCTCATACTCACACACACCCATATATACACACTCATACCCACACACAGATACCCTTACACACCTATACACACAAACCCATACACACACTCATACCCATACACATCCATACACACATACACACAAACACACACACAGAGACACACACAAACTTGGGCCCAGAGAGCAGACTGATGTCATCCCCTCTCCCAGGCCACACCACGGAACCAAGGACCAATGTGCTCTGCTCCCCGGCTCACACTAAGCTGCTGTCTGCACCCCACCCGAGGGTGCCTGACTCTGACTTTGTAACTCCGGCCTATCCACAGCCCTGCACAGCCCCGTCACCCATGCTGGGTACAGAGGTGCCATCCTGGGCTTGAAGTTTCTCTCCAGCTTCTTTCCACCTATCCTCAGACCTGGTGCCCCTCGGTCACTGACAAGCCTTCCAGGTTCTGCACCTGTGCCCCCACCCTGGAGCACCTACCCCATCCCAGGGAACAACCCCCCTTCACCAGATACAGCTCCCCAGGCCCCCACAGCTCCCCAGGGCACCCCTGGCTCCTTCCTGGGAATACTGCTCAGTGCAGCACCCAAGAGCACCGGCAGGGGTCACAAATCCAAATCCAAGCACAACTGCGAGGGCCTGTGTCCGAGTACACGGTGACCAGATAAAATCCCTGCCTTAGGAAGCTCCCAGTGAGCTTCTAAGGGATCGAATCTCAGCTCTGCCCTGGGAGCTGTGAGACCTCAGAGACAAATGACCTAACCCCTCTGACCCTCCTAACTCCCATCTGTAGGGAGGCAGAGTCCTTTTCCAGAGCAGGGTAGGGGGAGCCAGAGAAACAGCACAGCAGGGAGGGCACTTGCCCTGCACGGAGTCAACCCAGGTTCGAGCCCCAACGTCTCCTATGCGCCCTTGTGCACTGTCAGGAGTGATCCCTGAGTGCAGAGCCAGGACTGAGCCCTAAGCACTGCCAGGGGTGATCCCAAAAACAAAAAAAAACAAAAACAGAGGCAGGGTGGAGACAGCATCTGGCCCACAAGCTGACTCTGGCACCCCCTGTCCTCCAGTAGTTCTTGTCCACTCTTTTGGCTTCTGGTCCTTTCTAGAACTTCTCCAGGGCAGAGGTCAGCTCCTGCACCTCCCATTTGTCCCGGGCCTCCGTGTAGAGGAGGGTGGCCCAGGCCCACTGCCCACGCCTGTTCTTCACCTGGGCCCCAGCAGCCAGATTCTGCCCGCACTACAGCCGGGATCAGGTTCCACCCCATTCATGGGGAAAAGGGCCCGGCTGAGGCCAGAGCTGGGAGGTTCCCAGGGCTCCTTCCCCCCACCCCAACCTGGTCCCCACACACAACCACACCCCAACCCCCTCTGCAGGCTGAGGGTCCCAAGCTGCTCCCCAGTGTGAAATATGAAGATAACAGCGCCTGCTTCCGACTCGTGCGGGTGGGTCACACAAGTCTCAGAAAGTGCCTAGGAAAGATGGAACAAGCAGGGCGGCCGCAGCGGCGGTGGGCTCAGGATCGAGGGGCAGGAGAGGGCATCCAGACATTTGGCCCCTGGAGCCAGTGTCACTTTCTGTGGGACGCCATCCCTTTCTCCCTCTGGACACTAGGGCTGCCCCAGCTTCACCTGAGCCAACAGGGCCAGCAGGCACAGGGGTCTTCCGGTCCAGGGTGCCACCTGCTGGCCACCCGGGCTCACTGCGGCTGGAGGCAGGCGGGCTTGGGGGTGAAGGTCTCTGTTGCGGGGACAGGGTTCGAGAGCGGGGAGACTGGAGAGCGAAGGCCCTGTGCTGAGTGCAGGCAGGGGTCGCGGGGGGCCTCACCTGGGGCAGGGCGGAGTTCAGGTGCCGCTGGAGCTGGTCCCGCTCGTGCAGGGCCTCCTGGAGCCGGCTCTGGGTGGCCACCAAGGTCTCCTGGCTCTCCCGCAGGGACTCCAGCAACTTCTCGCGCTCGTCCAGCATGTTCACCATCAGCTGCTCAAAATTGGCGTCGGCCTCGGCGCCGTGGGGGGGGCCCAGGGGGTCCCCCTCGTTGATTGTGGGCATCACCTCACACATGGTGGGGGCTGGGGTCGGGGGGCAGCTGTGCAGGGTCAGCACCCCAGGGGGTGAGGGAGGCGGGAAGACCCCAACGTGGGTCTCAGGGCAGGCCGTGGGAGAGGCAGGCGGGGGTCCCTCCCATGGCCTCAGTGGCTCTTGCTTGGGGAAGCCCGGTGCACCCACGGGCCACAGAGCCGGAGCGCCTGGGTGGAGCTCTCAGGGCCGGGGCTGGGGGCGCCGCGTCCCCAGACAGGCGGGCAGTAGTGCCGAGTGGCCATGCCGGGTGGGCAGCGCGGGGCTGGCTGAGGCCCTCCTCTGAGTGGCACCGGGGCCCGGCACAGTCCTGGCTGGGTGTAAAGACTCGGGTTTCTGGAAGGCGAAGGCACGATCTGCGGGTAGGAGAAGAGACGGCTGTGAGGATCGGCAGGACGGCAGGATGGCAGGATGGCAGGACGGCAGGGCACGAGGGTGTGCTGGCCGGTCCTCAGCAGCTGCCTTGGGGCTGGCGCCTTGCTGGGCTCACCCAGGAAAGCTCCTGCTGGCTGCGGCCTCTGCTCCCTGCCCCCAGCCGCCAGAGGTGCAGCCGCCCCAGTGGTCCCCCAACCACGTGGTTCAGTGGCCAAATATAGAAATGATTCAGTCAGCGGCAGGGGAGTGCAGGCGGGCTGCCCGAGCCCTCCTGAGACGTGGGCAGGGAGAGACGGAAGCAGCCTCAGGCCGCAGCGGCTGAGAAGGGGGTGAGGGGGGTGAGAAGCAGCTCTCGGACGGGAGACCCACAGGCCCACAGCCTGAGCCAGCAGTGGTGCGAATGTGACCACTGGCACGGGCTGGGCACTAGGGTGGGCAGAGTCTTCCCATTGACAGAGAAGGCTCTGGCCGGTCCCCCCCAGCCCAACCTGGTGCCCCACAGGCACCCCCTGAATCCACGCCCCCACCTCTGCAGGGGAGTTGGGACGGAGGGTGTCCGCAGGGCTGGGGGTGGGGGTCGCCCTCCCAGGGCAGCGGGGTGTAAGAGGCCTGCCCACAGCTGGCCCTTCCCTGCCACTGGCACTGTCCGTCCGGCGAGGTGTCCAGCACGGGCCAGCATGAGTCCAGGGACACCTGGAGCCCAGAAGCCCAGTGGCAGGGAGAGAGGGCTGCCCGGCACCTCAGCTTCAGTGGGGCTGTCCTAGAGCTCAGGGACACAAGATGGGACATGAGGGACCCACATCGCGCTGGGCACGCAGATGCTCCGTGCCCACCACCAGCCCCTCGACTCCACCCTCCCTCCTCCCTCCTTCCCTCCCCCTCCCTCCTCCCTTCCTTCCTCTCTCCCTCCCTTCCTTCCTCCTTCCTTCTTCATTCCTTCCTCCCTCTCTCCCTTCCCCCTCCCTACTCCTTCCCTTCCTCCCTCCCTCCCTCTCCCTCCTTCCTCTCTCCTTCCCTATGTTCCTCCCTTCATCTTTTCTTTTGATGTAAAACAGATTTGATTTGGAGGGTTTCTGAAGGTGTGGAGGGGGAGGGAGGGAGGGGGAGAGAGGGTGGGGGAGAGAGAGAGAGAGAGAGAGAGAGAGAGAGAGAGAGAGAGAGAGAGAAACGTGCTCAAGAGAGAACATGGGCTTCTCCAAGGGCGGAGAGAGCCCCTGCACACACCCCAGCATTAGACGTGAGAGCATGAAAGTCCACATCTCAAGAGGGGAGATGCGGGCGACACATGTGCTTGGGTACATGTGCTCGGCCACATGGGTGCAAGCAGCACATAGGCTCAGGCAGCATACACACCCTCCATCTTTTCTTCCCTTCCCCTCCTCCCTCCCTCTCTCCCTTGGCCTCCTTCCTCCCTCCCACCCTTCTCTCCCTCCCTCCCTCCCCCCTCCCTTTCTTCCTTCCTTCCTCCCTTCCTCCCTTTCTTCCTCCTTTCACTCTTTCCTTCCCTTCTCTTCCTTCCTTCCTTCCTTCCTTCCTTCCTTCCTCCCTCCCTCCCTCCCTCCCTTCCTTTCTTCCTCTTTCTCTGTCTAAGAGACACAGGGCCATGGGCATCATATGGGCAGGGAGGACCAGAGCAGACAGGTGAGAGGTCAGACACAGGGCAGCTCCCAGCCCCCAGCACACACTCACACAGCACATTCACTCACAGCCTCACAGTCATTCACACATGCACACACTCACACACATTCACTCACACTCCCAGCTCCCCCACCCCCGCCCTCCCAGGGCAATGCCCTCCCAATGCCGCCCTGCCATGGGCAATAGAAAAGGAGACAGGCACTCCCGGCTGAGCTCAGCTGTCACCCCATCTCCCGAGTGCAGAAACAGGGGGGCAGCAGGAGGGAGGCTGAAGTGATGGAAGGAAACTCAGCCTGAGAAGCCAGCCGGTGCCCACAGCCGTGCCCAGGGGCAGGAAGGCCTTGCACACGCACACATGGCCACTCACACCTAGACATCAGGACACTGCTCAAGCGGGCCCCATCTTGTGCCCGGGGGGGCAGCGGTCCCAGGCAGGGGCCGGGCTGAGCCTAGTCACCCCCTCAACCCCCACCCCTACCCAGCAGCTGAGGCCCAAAACTGCATCCCACTGAGGCTGGCAGGAGCAGGCCTCTCCCACCCCGCGCCCTCCCTGGGCCAGTTTCTCTACCTTCCTCCAGCGGCGGCCCTCGGCCAACCCAGCTCCTTCCGGTGACCCCCACGGGCCTAGCAGTAGGCCTCACGCCATACCCCATGTTGACCTGTGGCTCCCTGGAGTATCTGCAGAGCCCACAGAGGGCACCGTGGCCCCAATTTAGAAACATTGCTCCAGGGCTGGAGAGATAGCACAGCAGGTAGGGCGTTTGCCTTGCGCGCGGCCGATCCGGGTTCGATTCCCAGCATCCCATATGGTCCCCTGAGCACCGCCAGGAGTAACTCCTGGGTGCAGAGCCAGGAGTAACCCCTGTGCATCGCCAGGTGTGACCCAAAAAGAAACAATGCTTCAATCCGAGGGGCTGAAAGCCGCAGTGGCACCCCCCATCCTGGTCCTGTCCAGGACATCAACACCTGGTGCCCACTGCCCACCCCCTGCCCAAGGAGAGGAAGCCGCAGCAGAGGAGGCTGGAAGGTTCTGGAGTTGGGCTGGGTGCGGGTTTCAGCCGGGCAGACCCCATGCAGCTGCGGAGCTGGCACTCAGGAGGACCACAGGGCAACCCCGGGCTGCCACTGCCCACCCCACCCCCATGGCTCAGAGAGGCAGCTGCTGCAGGGGAGTGGGACTCCTACGCAGGGGCAGGGGGAGCTGGGGCAGGTTCTCTGGGACTCTGAGAGGGGCTGGCCATTGCGTCCAACTTGGCCTCCCCAAATGCACGCGGTCACTGTGGTGACTCAAAGGCAGAGAGTACAGGTTAGGGCGCGCCTAGCACACCCCCGCCAGCCCAGATGAGGACATAGCACCATGACTGCGTCCGGATTACCCCCCAAAATGCTGACTTTGGGGACCCCAGCTCTTTCCCAACATCCCCCCAGTGCAGGTGGCGGTAGCACCCCCACTTCCTGGTGAAATGGCATCACCAAGAGCGGGCTGAAGAGAGGCTCCAAAGTGAAGGTGAGGCAGAGATGCCCTGGCACCTCTGTGTGAGTGTACATGCACACACTCACACAGCACATTCACTCACAGCCTCACAGTCATTCACACATGCACACACTCACACACATTCACTCACACTCTCACACAGTCACTTACTCTCGGTTGCTCACACACTCACACATACAAACAATAAACTCACTCACATTCTCGGTCACTCACACTCACACACACACATTCTCACAGACAATCACACACTCATACACACACATACACATTTACTCACACTCACACACATTCAGTCACACATTCACGTAACACACTTTCACTCACACCTTCTTATACACTCACATCACACACATTCTCACGCACATTCACTCACATACATTCACTCACACTCATATACACACATCCACTCACATTCTCATGCATACATCCAATCATACACATATTTGATCACACATTCACTCACATACACTCACACATTTACTCACACTCACATACACACACTCTCACATACACACATTTACTCACATACACTCACACACCTACACATCTTCACTCAAGCACTCACACACATACACATATGCATACATTCACTCACACACACATTCTCACAAATACACACGATCATTCACACACTCGCACACATACATATTCACATTCTCACACACATACATTTATTCATATGTTCACTCACACACATACACATATACACAATTCACTCACATACAATCTCAAACCTATACACGTTCACTCACTCTTATATATTCACTTACACACAATTCACTCACACACATCTACTCACACATACACACTCTCACACATATACATACACACATTAACTCACACACATTCTCACACATACACACATTCACTTTCACATATTCACACATACAATTCACTCACACATAAATGTACATTAACAAATATCCACATTCAATCATACACATAAACAGTTCACTCATACACAAACACATTCACTCACACACATATACAAATTCATTAAACACACACATTCACATGCACATACATTCACACACACAATTTGCTCACACACATCTACTCACATACACATTCTCACACATACACATTCACACACATATATACAAAAATGTACTCACACTCACACATATATATTCACACACATTCACTCACACATTCACTCTCATACATACACACATTCATTTAGTACACATACACACACTCTAATACACATACACACTCACACACATATACATATTCACTCGCACACACATACACAATCATTCACACACACATCCATTCACACACACTCTCTGACACACATACACATTAATTCACACACACAAGTATATACATTCACTCACAAATACTCTGACACACATATAACCATTAACTCACATACTAATATACACATTCACTCACATACACACATTAACACACATACACAGGTACATTCACATACATATACACATTCATTCTCACACACATATACATTCACTCACACAGACTCATTCACACACAGGCATGCT